TTCCCATATTACCCATCAAGCCGCGCCCCCACACCCCGACGGAGCGTCTGTTGAGGCTCTGAACGCACATCATCGCCATGGAGAGCGCATGATGGCCCGCGGGGGTGTGCGTTTATCTTCGACGCCGACCTGTGTCACGCGTCCCCAGCCACGGTACCGCGATCACGGCTGCAGGCGTCTGCGGCTTCCCAGCAGACGGCCGACAGGAGGAGCTCGCCTCCGTGACCTGTGACTGACGGACAGCGGCGCCCAGCCCCGATCCACACCGGCGAGGGCGTGAAAACGAGAGTGAATATTAACAAGAGCGTTTCCCCTTGGTGGTCACAACAGGGTGGTGTCCGTCTCCACACACTGGGGCGGTACTGGAGGAACCCACCCTACACACGAGTAAGCGGAACGTCCATCGTACAGGTGACTGTGACCCACCCAGCACAGAGAACGCCAAGCCAAGCTCTCCTCCCTGAATCTGGATAGAAGGAGAGCAATTTCTCATGGTAAAAGGCGTTTTCTCACGGCGTTCCATGTAACGTCCCTCTTCACCGCGTGCTCTGCAGAGAAACAGCCTCACACCCTGATTAACAGCCGGCGTCAGTCAAACCCTGAGCACTGCATGCAAACCGGGGGAAAGGCCCAAAACGGTTCTCAGGCAAAATTGATCGGCGATTACGTGGCCGGCTGCACCGACACCCTTGGGAGAGCACGGTCAGCACTTTACCGGTGTAAACGATGGCCGTACAGGGGCTGAGAGGCACGATGCACCCACCTTCCACCCCGCTGTTGTTTTTAAGAATAAATGGGCCACTGGCTAAGAAGCACCAACAGTAAGCACATTCTCCTGACATTTTTCATTTTTCATTTCGCCGCATACGGCCTGTGAGCGGGAAAAAGTCTCACTGTTATGCCAGCATGTTCTCCTTTTCCTAAGGGTCCAAGGAGCTTGGTCATTTTGCACAGCCGCACCCCCGTCACAGGGACGCAGTCGGCCGCGGTTTGCACCTTCCCTCCGCGGCCCCTGGGGCGACCCCTCCTCACTTCCGAGGGGCTTGAGAACGGCAGCAGAAACACTTGGCGCCCTAATCCGGACGACCCGGCCATTAAGTAAATCCGTCGCTCCGCAGGGAAGGGGTTCCCAGGAAACCCAGCTACCCGTGACCAGCTCCTTGATGCTGGAGAAGCACGCAGGACAGATTAGCCATTTTCATTTGCCGCAAACAAACACGGAAGAAGTGCGCTCGGCGCCGCAAGCCGCCGTGAGGAGATTAGGGAGGCGAGTGAGGGGGACCCATGCCAGCGCACCCGTGTTTTCGAGTGTGGCGTGACGGGGAACAATGCGTCGCCACGGTGAGCAGCGCTAACCGCGCTAATGCCGCCGGGCACGGCAGCACCGCTCCTGGCCTCCATTCCAAGCTGCCAGCGGCTGGTGGCATGTGTACCCCGAAGCGAGGTGGGCCTCTAACGGCTCTGCATTCACGACCCCCTCCCGTCCCCCACCCCCCGCTCCCGGCTCTGAGCCATCGCCTAGGTTCCCTCCTCGATCCCGCTGGTATGTGGACACAATGGGCTCCCAGCACCACAGAGATGGGGGGAGGGGCTTCTCTACTGTACGGCGTGTCTGTGGGAAGGGCCTACCCATCGGACCCCCCCACCCCCTGGCGGTTCCATGACATCCATCAGCATTGACACCCCAATGACAGCCCTAAGAAAGCTCAGCGCCCCCACCCCCACACGACGGCGATTTTCTCTCCACTCAGGCCTTGTTAAAACCACATGAGGGAGGAAGTAGCGGTGACCTCTCAGTCCCGATAAAAAGCTAGTTGGGAAAAGTATCTGTGATGACATGTGGTCACCTCTGAATTAAGGTGAGAAGACAAACCGCACCCAGAACCATGCAAAATGAGAGGACTCTCTCACCAAAGCTGGACCAGCTAAGACGACGACTATCCCTCCCACAAACCTACAAGACACCCCTAAGCGTTTCAATCCTGCCTCTGCCAAGTCAGGTCTTCTCTCTTCTCCTGTCCCGGCAGCGGTACCTGAACACAGGCCCACTAAAACAGGAGCGCAGGTCAGGTCAAACGCGGAAGCAGACCCTGGGGAGAGGGTCACGGTGTCTCGGAGCCTCGCCGGCCGAGATGGGAACTGAGGGCTTCCACATCGAGGCGAGGCAGATGTTGTCACGCTCAGGTGAACGCCACCACAGGTAAAAATGTGTGTAGCTCCTTAACCGTGGGATGACCCCCCCCACCGAAAGCCAGAGCGGGTGGGAACCAGGGGCAAAGCACAACATAAATGCAATACATCAGCAGGGGGGCAAGGATGCCTGTGAGGCACCAGCCGAACAGTGACGGTGGGGCGGGGGGGGGGGACAAAAGGCTGGCTGAATGGGCCCCTGGAGGCGAAGGGGGGGTCTGAAGAGGCCGCATGAGGGACCAAGCGACCCACATACAGGCTCTCAGCACACGCCCCCACGGGGAGCTCTGCTAACCATCACTGCCGAGAGTCCCCTTCCCACAATGCCCGGCGCAGAGAGCCAACCCCTCTCGTTTGATCTGGTCGTTTATTAAATGAGCGGCACGTGTCAGGAATACGGATGCCATCCGCGCGCCAAGGAGCCAGCCGTGGCTCCCCCCAGAAAGGAGTGCGCTCTTTAATTGCACGCCTTCTCTCCAGGTGACACGAACGAGGACACCGCCGTCACTCTGAGGATTCCTACAAAGCTCTTCCCTCTTCGCACTGAGAGAACCAGAAAAAAGTAATTATAATGAGTGCGCTTTCAAGCCTGGTGCTTTGATAACACCGAAAGAGGTTCGATACACGGCCTGCAAACATTTTAGCGTAAACAAATCACCGGGAAAACAAAGACGGCAACAGACGGCAACTTTTGGACTCAAGCACTTTGGCTTCAACTCTGAGGGTCTGTGGGCTAAAAGGAAATATGTCGGCAGGACTGGGGGAGCATTGAAGGGGAAAAATTTATGGGTAAAATCAATAAAAATCTGTAATTCAATATCCTACACACATATCAGATTTCACAGTTACAGTTTTGTATCTAGAACCATTTTTTTTTAAATCAGACTAACAAATTCAGACTTACATAACTTGGGGAGGGGGGGCAGGATTAGATTAGTGTCTTTGTGAGACACGGCCTAACAAACTAATAACATTAAACGCAGTTGGAGAACATGGTCCTGAGCAAGGCGGAACCCTGTGGGCCTGTGGGCCAGAGGCATGTGGCGTCACTGTCAGGCTGGCGGTGACATATCCTTACCCAGTATCAGGCGCCACACATGAGAACCTAAGATACACATACTGAATTACTAGCTACCCATGTGAGAAAAATTTATAAAAGGCAAGAGATGAATTTGGCCTGATCATCTACAGCTAGTTATCAGCGCTGTACATTATCACGTGGTCATCCTGCGGGTTTTCAAGCAATTAAGTGCTGTAGGCGACCTGGAATCGCAAAAAACATATTTACTTATGGTGGGAAATCCGAAGGATTGTCTCAACCCAGAGGCATGTCCTGGGCTGACTGAGCTGAGGCCGTCAGTGGATTCCCAGGGTCGGCATCGAGTGAAGGTTTGCGTGAGTGTTGGTCGGCACCAAAAGATACCTATGAGCAGAAGGCATGCTGTCTTTCACTAGCAGGCAGCCCACCGGCGATCCACCGGCCAATGAGGCATGGAGGAGGCGTTACAGGCTCTGCAGCTCATGTAGGGGCTCACCAGAGCAGCCCCCCCCCCCACCATGCCCTCATCATCTCACCTCGCTCTGGCTATTTTACACCCAGAAGAGCAAAACAGTAAAAATTAATATTCTGGCTAACTAGTAACTTTGTTCATTTTATGCAGTTTCTGAACTATTAAGCATTTAAATAATCACAAAGTAATTACGGTTAATTGGCTGTTTTATTTTCAGAGGAGAGGAATAAATAAAATATGGTGTTATTTATCTGTACAAGCATGCCTCAGAAACTTCTCTCAAAGACAGACACAAATGTCAGGTCACAGTCAGAAATCAAATGGGCCAGTCAATCACGGCTAATTAAACCGAATCCCAGCTAGAATTAAAATCCACAGTGACACACACACACACACACACACACCCCTCCTGAGTGTGAGTGAAGCTGTCCCGCCTCCTCCCCACCCCAAGAAATCTAGAACCGGGTTTAAACCCAGCAGTCTAAACTAGTTCCCTCAAAGCTCAAAATATGGAGGATTATCGCTGAGCAGCAAAAGGGGCGATATAAATATTTTTTTTCTAAGGAATGGAATTAAAAATGTGCGAAATGCCATTCATACGTGCAGCAGTCGGGCTGCCAGAAGCCCATAGCGCTCCAGGATTTAGCCGTCAGAGCCTTCAAACCCGCATTCCTTCCACGCAAGGCAGCCGGCTGCCTGTTTGACAGGTATCTCTCAGCGCCCCGCAAAAATAATCCCCGCCAACGAAAAGGCCTCGGACCCCCTATAAAAACCAACAAGCACAAGACAGGACGATCCACTTCACTGGGCCGGCGAGTCGCACTGTGTCACTTAAACACCAGGCTCACCATCAGCTCAAATCAGGACGACACCATAGAGTGCACGTGTGTGTCCGTGTCTATTTACCACATTGTGGGGACTAAATAAAGTAAAAACCTGTTACTTTTGAGCTTGTGGGGACATTTTTCAAGTCTCCACAATATAAACCTCAATTTTATAAAAATCTGCGAATACAAACAAAAAATGAAAGATGCCAAAATTTTGTTTGGTTACTTATGGTTAAGGTTAGGTAGGCGGTTAATGCTATCATAGTTGGGATTAGGATTTTTCCCCACAAAAATGAATGGAGAGTCCCCACAAAGATATAATTACAAACCTGTGTGTGTGTGTGTGTGTGTGTGTCCACAGCCACACCCGTCAGCTACCCTTACGGCTCAGGGTTAACCTTACAGTCAGCCCTCCTTAAGCTAAACATAGTAACAGGCAGATTCTCAAGCTCCCTTTCAGTTCGGAAGAATGTGTAAGTAGGTAGGACTTCCACCAGAACCACTGGAGAAATCGGCGTGGAGCTGCACGGGATTCTGAGGGGCATGCGGACATAAATAATGCACGTCGCTAATCTGGGCTTATCTCAGCCGACAGGACGTGTTGAAAGGCACTACTTTTAAAAATAAACAGGCAGTGCTTAGCCAAACTCGTTCCCCGGTTACAAAAGCCTTGTTTTTATTTTGCGCTGTGGCTGCATTTTGCGTAAACATAACTAGCAACGGAGACTGGAGGAATTGCAGCCAGTTACGCAAATGCCAGAAACACTTTGAGAACATAAAAGAACAACAACACACTCCGGGCGGCTATCTGGCGATTCATCTTCGGCTTGGGCTTGAACAATAGTTGAGGCCCGGGGTCTTTTGGCATGTAGCAACAGTGCCCCCGTGGGTGCGGAAGAGGAACTGCAGCGGGCGCCCGACACAGCAGCATTTCCATTACGGTACGCCGCCTTGCTCCAGGCCTCTGCTAATTCCCACCTGTTCAGATATTTAATTGAATACATTTCTATTTTAAGATGTGGTGGGTTTTTATTCCACGGCAGTCTAAGAAACGTGAAATACTCACACTGCCATTTCACATTTAGCAGTGTTAAAAAAAAATTTCAAAAAAAAAAAACTCTTGAAAAATACAGGACACACACAGAAAAAAAAAAGCTGCAGGCGCACGTGACATAAGACCCCGGCACGTGTTTACAAACAGACTGTGTAACCTGACACCTCTGCGACAAGCCGCACATTTACACCGGTTTATTTATACATTTAGAACAAAGCCAGACGATTCACTGCCTTAGCTGTCCAGGCCCGCAGCCCTTTGACCAGGGGACCCGTTTCGTCAGAGAAATGCCTCCAGAACAGGTAAAATTCTGGGGTGACTGGGGGCCTTTTCGTGGCAAGACTTATGTGACTATGATGGGGAGAAGTGAGCACGACAGGAAGCCAGTTGGCACCTACCAGGAGAGTCCAAACCAAAGGGAACAGCAGGGGAAGGTCAGAGCCCAGATCCCAGTCTGCTACCAGTGCCGGCCCACTGGCCTGCTGGCCCGCTAACGGGCACCTCGGTCCGTTTCAGGGATAAGACTACACCGGGGGGGGGCTCCCTTCTTCCAGAATTCCAGATGGGAAGCAATCTGCCCGTGTTGTCCGTCTGTGAGTGCCCTAACGAGCCCCGAGCCTCCGCGAGCCCCCCGTCCTCGTAATCCGCCATGTGCTCGGCCGCGAGCGCGGGGGAAGCAAGAGCATCCGTTTCGCAGGGGAGCCAGCTCGTTTAGCAAGCCGCCTGTTGGACAGTGCCAGCACCCGGCTCAAGGCTTACGCACGGTGCTGTGGTACCAAGCAGCACAATTTCACGTGCATCTCCCCCAAGCACCAGGATTAAGGGCATCGAATTATAACAGGCCAGACCAAGGGTACTTAATCTGACTTTAAGGATAATGCATCTGGCTGTACAGTTTGGCCAAAACAAAGGAGCTGAAAAGCTTCCAAGTCACTTTCAGCTCATTAGGAGGACAATACAGTTATGGAAGAGGTGTGGTCAGTATATGGACAGGTGTGGTTGGTATGTAGAGGGGTTGTAGTTTGTGTGTGGTCAGTATATTAAAGGGTGTGGTCAATATATGGAATGTTCTTCTTGTTTCAGGAATCCCTTACACTGTATTGTGTACAGTATTACTCCCCAGCAGACTGAATGGAAACTCTGAGGACAAGTGGGGCATTTGAGTACTACCCACTGCCAGAGTGGGACAAGTGCTTCCTTAGCCAGCCCCATCACTACCACCACAGTCCACAGACCAGGCATGCAATCTAGGCCAAGACTGCTGGGATTCAAAGGGTCGGCTGGCCCGTACCTCAGCATCCTCGCTGCTGACGGCGAACTCCAGCGTGGCGCATGGAGCCTTCTGCTTGGCCTGCGTGGACTGGCCCATCTGGAGGTTGAGGCACCATCCGACGTGGTCCAGCTGCAGACCAGAGACGAAAAACCCATCAGTGATGCCACACAAATCTCTACCATTCCAAGCATCACCAGGCGTCCGGATGGTAACATTTTATAATGTTATACTGATGTTAGCCTGTGTAGCCAGTGAATATGCAAACAAGAAAAGGCTTAAACTTGATCCAGACTGACTCCACTCAGCATTCTCACTCCACAACAACCGTCTTCGAGGAGCCTGAGCTCCTTCCCATAACTAATCACTGCAACCTGCTGCTCACAGGAACCCAGCGGGCCCATAGAAGGAGCTGATGAGGCGGAAACCAGCGATAATCCTGCCAAATGAAGATCTTGTTTCCCACCCAAGGCAGGAAGGATAGCAGCTGTGATCTGCCCACAGTCCCAGAGACAGAACGCTAATGGCACCAGCCAGACCGAGAAACATGAGTGGCTGAACGGCGTTGGATTTCGGGTGGGACTTCAGAGAGGCTCTGCAGATGCCACTGGGTCATGTCATGCAGTCACTGCTGCCTCCTTGTGTCTGCACACATAGACCCAATGGTTACTTTATCAGGTACCCCTATGTAGTACCAGGCCGGACCCCTCTTGCCTCTAGAACCACTTCTTTGGTCGGTCAGTTGCGTGTTCAAAGGTGCGTTTCTGCACATCATTGTCATACTGAGCTATTATTTTTGCATTTCTGGTGTTTCCTTTAACATGTCTGGCCATTCCCATCTGACCACCCTCATACTATGTTGCATTTAACTCAGATGCCGGAAGCCGAAGCTGGGAATAACGTCACACCCAAGTCAACAACCCGAAATGCCATTTAGCAATACCAATCCTAGCCAGGTTCGTTGTTGGCGATTCCAATCCTAGCTAGGTTCATTATTAGCCATTGTTAGCAATACCACTTGATAACAACATATACAGTATTTTGAGCAAACAACATGTTCACAGATACAGGACAGCACTGTGTGTACGACTGATTTAATGAAACACAAATAAATGCTAATAAAACAGTATAAGTACAACGTTCACTTCTGTTGGTAAGGGGTGCAGCCATCTTGAATTTTGAGGTTGGGGTTGTAGAGGTTCCTCCGACTTTCCGAGTTGGAAGTCCAACTTCAGGGGGCGTTCCAACTGAAATTTCTGACTAGGAACTTGGAAATTCTAACTTGCGAGTGGAACGCACCATCATTAACCAGGTGTTTTCACCCACCAAAATCCCATTGACTGGATGTTTTTGGTTTGTCACACCTCTTAACTGCTGGAACCACCACGGTGTGTGGCTCAGACTCGATCCAAAGGTCACTGGTTCGAGCCCCAGCCTTAGCAGAATAATCATGTCTCTACTGGTCCTTGAGTGAGGCTCTTAACCCTCAAAACGCTCCAGGGGTGGCAGATAAATGGCTGACCTTGGGTTCAGACCCAAAGCTTTGCTCTCAACTCGTGTGTGTGTGTGTGTGTGTGTGTGTGTGTGTGTGTGTGTGTGTGTGTGTGTGTGTGTGTGTGTGTGTGTGTGTGT